CATCTCTAAGTCGGCTGAACTTGTCAAATTGAGTTAGCAACACTCAAGTTTTCTGGTAACCTATACATATGCACAAGTTACCTATACAAAGTTACAGTAAGTTTTATTAACTCAAAAATGATAAACTAATTTGCTTGAGAAATTTGAGGCAATCAGTTTCCACAGGTTTTCCAAGTAAGTTCAACTAATTACTTTTTACAGTGTATATGAATATTTATTCTCACCGCTTGAGTCAGCTTGAAGGTGAGTAGAAGCCAATGCTGAAAACCATGTGGAGAGATCCATGTGTCAGGACAGGACAGTTGCGTAGGTGTCTTGTGAAATTTTGATTTACCCTTTAAATCACCTGCATCTCTGAAATATTCTGAAATGTGGGTTTGTATGCGGTGGAGCTGAAAAAGCAATCAAGCAAGCATCACTGGTTACATGTTAGTGTCAGACATCAGACAGACATCATGGTACACGACCATTAAGTGGAAACAAATGGTTTTTGGTGATGTTTTTCAGGCAAAATGACTTGAGGTGTGGTTAAGAACAGGAAAAGAGATTAAATTATAGATTTGTTTCTGAAATAGACTGCATACTGCAGTATGGGCTGTATAGAGTAAACTGTCGTTTTTATGAGATGTCTGTATAGCACATACAGTATAAACTGTCAAAAGTACTGCAGCATGAACGACATGCAGCCCAAATTTTGAAATGGTTCAAATGCTTTTTACTCAGTGCATAAAGTCAGTGGTCTCTAATCCTCAATTAGTCTTTGACATCCAAGCTATTATTACCAGCAAATGGATTTGAGGGTGCGAAGCTTTCTGAAATGCACAAGTAATTGCTTAAAAACAGTTTCATGCATTGCGGTACTAATATGTTTCTTGTCAGACAGGAAATGAACTAGTTGCATGAAAGGAAAATGCACTAAAATTCTGTAGGATCAGATCAGTAGTGATAATCTGACAATGTTATTGAACATAACTGTTTTCTTCGGACACATCGTTCATATTTCTAGATATATTTCTGAGTGAAAAGTGCATGTTTATTCCTTCCTCAGCTGAATGCATATATGTGGATCATTTTCTTTAGACTCCAACCCTGTTATGGAAGCATTGTATAATGAGAAGTTTATGGCAGATATACATTTTCTGTTTAATTGCTAAAGGGGAAAAGTATATTTTAATGAGTTTATTGCAACATATTAGCCACCCAGTGGTGAAAAAAATGCCTACGGTGCCTACCAAATTTAAATGCTCTGTAAAGGGGGTCTTGGGATGTTAAAATGTTAAATTAATTCAAATAAACTAATGACCTCGTTAAATCAAAGGATTGTACAGTAACTCTTGTTTACAGTAACAAAAAAATCTATTAAACCGTGTTTCAGTCTTGCGCTCAAACAGAGGGACAAGTTAATATATTTGGATTACTGTTCTATAGAAAACAAAGGCCACTGTAAATTAATTCTACTGAACAGAGCATCCCTGTTTCCATGGAATTATTATTTAATTAAATAGCTTATGAATAGGGTATTGTCCTTGAACTATGCCAAACCGTCTGAATTCAGAAGGCATTTACTGCCTCAGACACCTCTTCATCTCTTTTTAAGACTTCACTGAAATCATTAACTGTAAAAAAAAAAAATATATATATATATATATATATA